GTGTGTGTGTGTATGTCTTCTTTTGCACTGATTGCTGTCAAGTTCCTGCAGACACACACACACATACAGAGGATTTATAGCAACTGCAGCCTGTAGTATTTCAAAAGCAAGATCAATTTTATACTTTAGCATTTGCTTCATCTCTTAAGCTACCTTACAAGTTTCTTTAGATGAGCATAAACAATTGTTGCACATAGCCAAGGGGAGGATAAATACTGAGCAGCTGTGAAACAACCTCCTTCTTGAGCTTAGCTTTTGGATGTTCTTTTGTCTGGATTTTTATCTGTTTAATTTTGCAAACATTTGATTGCCTCCAAAATGTAGGTCTGATTTGGGGGGGATTTGTAATGGTTTATCCTAGCCTTTCTGTTCAGTGAAGAAGGATGATGAGAGCTGCAGGCCAATAAGATATGGACTGTGTTCTCTATACTTGCTTTGCAAGTTCCTCTTTGCAGGAGGAATTTATGGTTTGAACAAATAGTTAATATTTGAGTGGCCAATGTTTGTTTTCTTGGTTGCCACTGTGGTATTTTAGACCTGAAGGTGAGGAACAAAGAGGACAACTGATCTCTCTCAGGGATAAAGTAATAAAATTGACACATTGTACTCCTAATGTCTTATTAACAGCTTCTGTGCTTGGCTAGTTATGGCATCTTCATCTGAGACTGTTCAGACATGAAAGGTTTCCCGGAGAGGTGCACCAGCCATGCTTCTTTGAATTTCCAGAATTTCTACATGTCTTTGTGGCAATAAATATAGCATGCACATAGGGCTTCATTATTTCTTCTTACACTTCTCAATCCCTTGAGTGAAAATATGCCTTTATGATACCTTAATTGAAATGTGGTCCAAAATTTACCAAGATTCAGTTGCTAGCTTTGAGAGCCTATGTTTCTACAAGGAGCTCCTGGATACATCCTTGGACAAGCTTGGAAAAAGCTCAGCCCCCTCAGAGGATGAGTGGTTATGTGCTGAGAACCCCCAATCTTATCATTACTTCGAATACTTTCCTGATTGATTTGGAGAAATGTGCATTTGCCACCATGTCTCTGATAACTTCCCTGCTTCAGCAAAACTCTGCACTAGAGATGATCATCCTAGGGGAGCTGTTGCTTCAGCAATAGCACAGGTCAAACTGTGAGCTTTCATAAAGGTTAAAGGTTCCAGCACTTCCTGGTTCTCAGTCAGGCTCTGATCTGGACAGATGTTTCCCTATGCATCTAACGTGTCGTTGAGCCTGGCACTTTACTGGGCATCTAATGTGTGGCTGAGCCTGGCACATTGCCTATGACCCTTATTCCTGAGATCCCAGGGGTATATTTGGACAGATGCTTTCCTGCACTTCCCTATGCATCTAACCTGTGGTTGAGCCTGGCACATTGCCTCTGACCCTTATTCCTGAGATCCCAGGGGTATTGTGGATAAAAGAGCTAGCCAAGAAGCTGAGCAACTGGCATGAAGATTGGTCTGTAACCTGTTGAGGCCTCAAAGTTGCTTATGGTCACCGAGGAGGGCACTGTAGTTTTAAGGGGTCCTGCAGTTCAACTTAATATCCAAGAAAACTCAAGGTTCCAGGCCTGAAGAGAGCTGGACCCTGACACTCCCTCTTCTGCCTTACTTCAGATTCTTGAACGGCATAGGGCAGTGATGGCAAACCTATGGTACGTGTGCCACAGCTGGAAGACGGAGCCCTCTCTGTGGGCACGCAAGCCATAAGTCGCTGGATTGCTACACCTGGCAGCAAAACCTGAGGAGGCAGCTGCAGCCGTGGTGCTATCACCCTGACAGGTGGCAGGCCAGGATCCGGAGCACCTGGCAGTGGCGCTGGTAGGCTGGCCGAGCTATAGGCAGTGGTGGGGTAGTGGCGCTGGTGGGCTGGCCAAGCTATAGGCAGTGGTGGGGTTGGGCATGACTGGAGGCGGATCTGGAGTGGGGTCTGGAGGCACCTCCATGCCCGGGATTCTCCCTTCCACCACCACTTCCACTTCCGTTGCTGCCTCTTCTGTTTCTGCCACCACCTGCCACCCACTGTCTCTCCCCTCCCTCCCAGTTTGGGCATTCGAGATGAAAATGGTTTGCCACCACTGGCATAGGGTCATGTTAACACACTGAAATGAACACTGGCCACGAAGCACTCAGGCTGACGATTTTTTGCATTTTTATTTTGTATCACACTGTTCATGAACTGCTAAAGAATAGAATCCAATTGAGATTCTTCCTTCCTTCCCAATATTTCTGTGCCACAATATAACCAAAATTCTCTGTGTGGCAGATGGAAATAATAATTAGAGACGGGGATGAAGCACCAAAATGGCGCTTTGTCTTTGTTTGTGGGTTGTCAAACTTGACCCATGAACGAATAATAATTAGAGACGGGGACGAAGCACCAGAATGGGGCTTTGTCTTTGTGGGTTGTCAAACTTGACCCATGAACCACAAATTGCCCTGCAGCGGCCCAATGAACCACAAATCAACTCATTGGTTCGTTGGGTCATATTTTTTGGACAGCCCGTGAGGCTGTGCTGCAGGGGCATAGGAAGAGGAGGGAAAGTGGGACCCAAGCCATCCCACAGACCCACTGCCTTGGCAAAGGAATCGCTTTGATCCTGCTTTGATCCCTTCCCACCCACTGCCTTTGCAAAGGAATCGCTTTGGTCCTGCTTTGATCCCTTCCCTGCTCTTCCTATGCTGCGCGGGCATAGGAAGAGGAGGAGAGGGGACCCAAGCCATATCCTAGCCCCAGGGGTGGGATTCCCTTTGGGCAGGCTTTAGCAGGGAAGGGAAAATCCCTCTCTGCCTGTGCCTCCGAGGAACAGCTGATCTGCAGAGGCATAAGCAGATAGAGAATGAAGGGATGAATATAAAAGGGTTATGTTCATTGCTTTGTATTTGTCGTGGTCTCTGGACCCCAAGAATACAAAGCAACAAATATCTGACAAATCAGAGATATTCCTTGAATATCCCGATTCTTTTTAATATTCATCCCCATGTCTAAAAATAAATAAAATCCTGATTCTTTTTTATATTCATCCCCATGTCTAAAAATAAATAAAATACAATGTCGGCCATAAAAATAAAAATAAATTATGTAAACCACATAACAAAGACTAAGGAGCAAAAATGAAACATGGCAGGGTACGACATTCTAAAAAAACCAAAATTTATAAAGTGCTTTAAGAAACATTAGAAAAGCTGCGTGGAGCCAGACAAAAGGATATGCAATCTAGCATCCTCTTCCCAGAATAGTCAACTGTATGTCTAAAGCCCACAAACAAGACTGTGGTCAGTATTACCTCCTTGCTTATGCTCATGAGCAACTGATATTGGCAGGCATACTGCTTCTGAAACAATCTATTGCCATCATGCTGAGTAGCTGCTAGAAGCCTCAACTTCTTCCTTTGAGGTTGAGAATATGAGAAGATGGCTCAAATCTTCCTCTAAAGCCATCCATGATGGTGATCATTACTACTTCTTGTGCTGGAAAATCCTAAAAAGCATGGATGTTTTCAAAAATGACTTTGCTGGAATGAAGACAAAGCAGGTGGCAGGTGAGCCTCAGGGAACTCACTGATAAGATTGCGATGGCAAACCACCCCTTGAACATCGCACATACTTTCAAAACCCTATTAACAGCACTATGGGTCAGCACCCATTTGACAGTGCATAGCAAACATACAGCTGACCAGATCTCTCTTGGAAAAAAAAATACTGGAAAAAAAATCTGTCTTAGGATGACCTCTGAGTCCAAGCAGGAGGAAGGAGCCCTTTACATCATCTGGTTCTAAACTGTCTAAATTTAAAGGGTTAGCCCAAGTATTTTGAATTGCATTCAGATACAGACTGGATGGAGCTGACAAACCAGTAGCGTGGTATGTTCAAAATGGTTTTCTTCATCTCAGATATTCTTTATGAACAGTATATATCCGCAGTACATCTTTGTGCCTTGGATTTGTTGTGTTGCTTTTGCGATATTATATTTCATCCATTCCTTCACTGTTATTTCTGCAAAAAAAGACACAGAGTGGACAAATAGCCAAGAAAATTGCAGGAGGGAACAATAACTTGGAATATTTGAAACAAAATTGCACTGCTGAGACCTGTGGGAATGTAATTTTTTCCCTCCACAAGCTGCTACCTGGCTATGATTGCAATGCTTCACATTCAAGTGACCTTTTCAGAGCTGAAGAAATACCGTTTCAGCGCCTTCAAGAGCAATTGCAGTGTTTATTGGCTGGTTGGATTGGGAACTGCCCAGTTCACAGCTGGTATTTCCACAGGGAATGCGGGTGGAGAGGTTTTTATAAAATCTTATTTCTTTTTTGGACAATGTGATCTGATCTGGAATAAGATCATGGCTCTGCATAAAGCATAGACCTGGCTAGACAAGCTGAACTGAAAATGTCAGAGATACAGTCCTACTTTTTATCGAAGTTTAACTACAACAATGTAGAGGGTGGGAAACATCTTGCTCCAGGTGTGAGATCGTAACACACCACTAGCCATGTTAGCTGTGGCTGATGAGACTTGGAATTTAGTGACATCTGAAAAACTGGAAGTTCTCAGCCCTAAGATTCATCCTGCTTTTTGTACATGAAACTCAAGGCAGTGCACATCCCACCTTGGCATCCAGTTAGAGTGGGATCCCCTGCCTCAGGTATGAGAAAAGGTACATGTATGATCTCCCTAGGTAATCTGCCCACAACAGATTTCTTTTAGGACCCTTAGAGCCAGGTAGTGTTGCATGCCACAGAGATTTCCACCTTCTGTCTCAGTTTCAAATACAGCCTGGAATGAAAATGTGGGGGTCCACCTTGTAATGTAGATGCCAAGCTACATCAGCATCCTTTAGACCTGGGTTTCCTTAGCACATTCTGCATTACACAGATTGGATGGATCTGGGTTTGATATTCCTAGGCAATAATTAGTTTTATTATGGTTTCAGAAAACTGCATGTTAAAGGGTCACAAATAGTGTTTATTCTTTATCATTTTCTTTTGCAGAAGAAACAAGTGAGTCAGACAAAGATCCGGGTGATATCAACCATTCTCTTCATCCTGGCAGGTTGCATCGTCTTTGTTACTATTCCAGCAGTCAGCTTCAAATACATTGAAGAATGGTCAGCTTTGGACTCTTTTTACTTTGTAGTAGTTACTCTTACCACTGTTGGCTTTGGGGATTTTGTGGCAGGTGAGACACTGGCTTAAATAATAAATGTCTGGATAGTATATTTTGGGAGCAAGGGTGGGCAACTACTGTTTTGAATTCTCCCCATTAATGATATTTTAAGATAACCATAGAGCAGAATTTGTTCCTATTGTCAAATAACATAGTAGTATAACTCAGTTAAGAGCATTAAATACTTACAGTAGAAATAAGGTTCCAGCAATTTATTTCCAGTTAACTGTAGAACTTTGTGTATAAATCATTGCTTCTCTGAGTGTCAGAATCTGGCTAAGCTCCTAGATGCTCCAGAATACACATGAAGCCCATTTATGGTGTAGGTAAGCAAAGGCTTAGATGAACCAAGGATAGGTTTATTGAAGTGGAGGTGGTGGGATGCTTAATATATTTTGCTGCCTGATGTAGAGCAGCAAATAGTGCCCTCCTCTGAAAGTCAATGTGCCGTTCATTGGCTTGCAGAATTATTTGGGTATATGAAAAAGAAAATCTCTTCTTGGCAAGAAAGATAAAACAATAATAAATTCAGTTACTAATAGTTTGATCACTTTCATAACATCCAGAGTACTGCCTTGAAATGACTACCTCTCTGTGCTGAAAGACAGGGCAATCACTTGCTATTAGATACCACAGATCATCACAAGGTGTAAACCATACTACTCAGAGCAGACACGGCCCCCTTTGGTTTCTCAGATCATGTGGTCTGGCCATGTTGGTTGCTGCAGTACCCTGTGTCACCATTACAAGGAAGGTGCAACAGCACAATGCTGAAAAGAAACTCCTTCAGCCAGCAAACTGCTACAGGAGCATTACAGAGTAAGCTCTCTCTCTCTCTCTCTCTCTCTCTCTCTGTGTGTGTGTGTATTTGTGTATTTCTATTTCCTCAGATTCCATGTACTGATTTCTTTCAGCAACCTTTTTCCAATCAAACAGCTAAGGCTCAAAAGTCAAACAGCCATATCGAAAAGCTAAAATCCCATGGATTTATCCATTTAATCTTTACAAAATACAGTTTTTTAGGGGTGGGAAATAATGTATTTGGAGAGAAAAAGGAACAGTTGCCAAAAAATATCTTGCTTAGTTATTCCAGCATAACCAAAATGGTGCACCTTTTTGGAGGTGAATCTCCTTAAGGTAAGAAATGATCACAAACATTATCTGTTCTATAAAGCGTAAAACAGATAATGTCTATGGTACTACTTAATTTGAGGCAATCTGCCTTCAAACTTTATTCCATTTGCATTGTGCTGGTGTAGCTATGCAAGAGGACATTGGCAACTCTAAACTAAAGACACACCCTTAAGAAATTAATGAACCGAACCACCATATTTCCCCTACTAAATAAACTGTTGAATGGCAGATCAACAGTTACGTGAGTCCCATTGATTCAGTGAATGAATGCTGAACTAGAGGAGGCCCATTGCTAAATGATAAGTCAAAAGTTATATAAATCCCATTGATTCAATGAGTCTACTTTTGCTGATACTAGTAATCAGATTTTGGCCACTCTGTGGCATCCTCCTCTAGGTATTCATGGCAACTAAATGGTGCCTACAAGGGAATACAGCTTTTATGTTTCATGCTTGATAGTTTACTGTAACAATTTTCCAAAGAGGACCACAAGGTTTTTTTTAATTTTTAAAATAATGTCATTAATACTGCACCATGCAAAACAGAAAAATAAACAACTTTTAAAAATACAAGAAATACAACTTTTAAAAATACAAAGAAAAAATCGAAAATACACATAAATTACATAGTGCCACTTAAGAACTTAACCAGCTTAACTATAACAGTGAACCCGCCATAGGGATTCCCTGTGTGCTATAGTGGATAGAGTGACAGACTAGGACAGTGGAGCATATGGTTAGAACCCTTACTTGGCCATGGAAATTCATTGGGGATGTGGAACTAGCAAAGCCACTTCTTAAATATCTCACATATTTTGAAAGCCCTATTAAGGTCTCTGTAAGTCACTTCCAACTTGATGGCACAGAACACACACAGACACACCACCAGGACCAGTACAGATTTTTCACCTCAACCCAATATTTAAGATGCCCCATACCATGTCAAAAATAATTATCTCTTGTTTGGGCATTTGGTTTTCCCCTTTCACTAATGCAAAATTCAAAAAATCTTCCCATATAATGATGAAATTATTCTCCTTTAATAATCCCTTTTTAATTTTAAATTGCACGTCAACCTATCATTAATTACTAATTCCGAACTTCATTACACCATTCACTTAATCGAAACTCATGATTACATTTCCAGTTCTTTCACAATCACTAATCTGGCTGGCATCAGTGGCCACAAAGGTTTTAGAAGGAAAGAGAAAAGTGAAAAACATTCCTCATCTCAAGCAACCACGACATGTCTAAATAAAACCAGATGACCACTATTAGAAACAGAGGGTCTTGCAATATAAGGTAAAGGTAAAGGTTCCCCTTGACAATTTTTGTCTGTCGTGTTTGCCTCTAGGGGGTGGTGCTCACCCCCGTTTCCAAGCCATAGAGTCAGCATTTATCCGAAGACAATCTTCTGTGGTCACATGGCCAATGCGACTTAGACACGGAACGCTGTTACCTTCCCACTGAGGTGGTCCCTAATTATCTACTTGCCTTTGCATGCTTTTGAACCGCTAGGTTGGCGGGAGCTGGGACAAGCGACGGTCGCTCACTCCGTCGCGTGGATTCGATCTTACGACTGCTTGGTCTTCTGACCCTGCAGCACAGGCTTCTGTGGTTTAGCCCGCAGTGCCACCACGTCCCTCTTGCAAGATAGGCCATGATATAATCTAGAAATCAGGGCTCCTTGTGGTTTAATGTCTTTAGAGGCACTTTGAGTGAATGTTGGACACCCTCTGCAAAGGTTAGGAAATGGCTCTGCTTATCTGTTCCTCCAGCATTGCACGCTCCACTTCTGTTAATAAGGATTAACAAATACCTTCAAATGAAGATGGGAATTTGTATTAAGGGCATAGATATAAACAATTTATCCTTTTGCTGCTATGGTGAAATTCCACAGAATTCTGGATTAGGTTAGATTAGAATGCAAGCCTTGGCACACATACAACAAAGTAAGCGCCATTGAACTAAATGGGACTAGACTAAAAGCCGCCTAGAGTGGTCTGGTAATCCAGATAGGCGGGGTATAAATCAAATAAATCGAATGAATGAATGAATGAATGAATGAATGAATGAATGAATGAATGAATGGGACTCAACATCTGAGCTTCATATCCATAGGACAAGACTGTTTAAACTCACTATAAAGGAAGCACAAACTATTCTCAGTATATAGGATTTGTACGGTGCTGATGTCCCACAGCTGTAGAATTCAGATGATTAAATGGTAGGAATGTAAAGAATATTCACAAAATTGTTGCTGTAGGCTGCCTTACGAAGATGCCTCCATCAGGAATATCCTACTCACATGCATTTTCTCCCTTCTAGGCGAGAGAGGGGCACTATTTTTCTTACAAAGATCTCTGTAAAGCTCTTTTGGTGCCACACTAGTTCCATTTCTTTCGAGAAGCAAATCACACACAGCAAATACAGCTGATTATCCATGCAACAAAGCACCCATTATTTTGTGCACTTTCTGTTATTTTCTTTAAAGCATATAAATTGTTTGGGCAATTTAGCTTAATTTGTGCAAATAAATTGTTCTTGTTCCCTTCTGTTGTCAAACACATCATTTCACCCTCTCTGAGCATGAGGAGGGTTATTCTACTGTGCCGCACACTGTGTGAGAAGATAAATCAAATGGTTGACATCCCTTCAAGACTGAACTGTTGAGCCAGAATCGAGCCATTGCTAAGTGCTTTTAAGTCTTGCTGACTTGCAGTGGAATCCTAACTCAAAGATAAACCTGATGTAGTTGGTTTGGAATTGGGCTGAGACCCTTCTCCACATCAACCCTCTTTTATTTTACGCCCCCGTCTTGCTGTCATATAGAGAATTGTCTCTGGTGCCACCTGTCCCTATCTATTAATGTTTTAGTCTTTAGGTACTTATTGTTTATTATTGTATGTTTTATCTATTTTGTAGACCATTCAGAGTAATGTTTTGCAATAATGGAGTGGTTGGTAAAGATAGATAGATAGATAGATAGATAGATAGATAGATAGATAGATAGATAGATAGATAGATAGATAGATAGATAGATTGATTGATTGATTGATTGATTGATTGATTCCCCACCTCATGTGATAAGAGAACTACATTGTGCTGGCAGTTCTCAGAGATCTACCAGTGGGAGGATCAGCCAACACAACTGCTGTCCTGGCTCAGATCAGCCAGTAGGAGAACCAAAACAGGCAAAGAAGGCATGAGATGAAGGATGATCTAAGTCAGTGGTTCTTAACCTTTGTTACTCGGATGTTTTTGAACTGCAACTCCCAGAAACCCCAGCCAGCACAGTTGGTGGTGAAGGCTTCTGGGAGTTGCAGTCCAAAACTCCTGAGTAACCCAAGGTTAAGAACCAGTGATCTAAGTTACCCCAGATCTAAACTTCATTTGGCCCAAGGATGCAGCGACGACAGCACAAATTTAGGCCATGTGGCAGTGTTGTCCTGCATCCCTAGGTTAGAAGGGTTTGGGATTCACACAGCTTGATCAAGTCTAATGTCATCTCAGCTGGCCCTCAATTATCTTGATTAGTTCAGCCTGTACCTTTAATGGCAAGTTTATTCTTGAGCATGGCTTGAAAAAACTACAGTCACAAGTAAGCAAACAAAGGAATTCATTCTGACATGTGTTAGGTGTGTTTTAATGAACACAGGCACTTTAGGAGCCAGATTGTCTCCTGGCATTGTTCTGAGATCCTTAAAAGACTATTTTAGTTTGTACTAATATCAATTATCCCATATACTTTGCTTGTCTGAATGTGCAGCCTGCTCTGTATTGACAATTCACCTTTGATCTTCTTTGAATAAGCTATTTGTAAAATGTGGATTAGTTTCCGCAAAGGTGTAGATGAGTGGACATTCATTGATTTTTCCCAGGACTGAATCCTTTGTGTTCATTAATCTGCTAAAAGAATCGGTGCTGGTAATAAATTTGATAGATGAAAAGAAAAGCACAAAATTGAACAGGGCATAGTGATGATGGTGTGGAAATAGCAGAATTGCCTTTTTTTAACTGCCTGCTTACTTTGTGCAGCAGACCAGCTTTACCTGCTTTATGGTGATTTCCCAATGGGATGTGTGTGATAGGAATAACCTCACTGCCTCATAGCAAGAAGATCACAAGCACTTGCCCTTTCTTATCCTTTGAAATCCATAAAGCTACCGACCAAAACATAGCACACACAGAGAAAGGTTTGACATCACAAGTGGGATTTGGGTGTCTGCCAACAATTTTATGCTTCGGTTTTTATGCAAGTCTTCAATCATTGTAAGCATACAGTACTTATGTACAGGCTATACTGAATGCACTTTAGAGGCATCATTGGAATGGATCGGTTTGCAAATGGTCTGTAAAAATGCAAAACCTCAGGAGGAGAGAGTGTGTGTTTGTGTGTGTGTGAAGAGTGAACTACAGCAGGGAAATAAAAACCCTGAGTTCTCCCTGTTGGTGCATCTAAACGAAAGATAATTATAGCACATTCTCAATCCCATGCACGTCTTCTGAGAGAAAAGTCCCATCAGAAGTCATCTCACATAGGTCTGTACACTCCTGCACTTGGGTACAAATCCTGTTTAACTTGATTGGAGTTACTTTTGAGTAGACATGGACAGGATTGTGTTTGTGGGCTGACCTTTCACATACATATTGGCAATGTGGAAATGGTTTCTAACAGTGGAGGCTGGTGGCTCAGAATTTGCTGAACACTATCCCCAGACCGAGAACTATAAGCCACAACGAATTCACCGCCCCGTGCAGTTGGAATCACCAGCCCTCACCAGTTTGTAAGGTATTTTAACTTGTCTCACATGCTTAAAGTCTCATTAGGGATATAACTGAAATATTTCCAATGAAAAAAAATTGTTTCACCACTTCCATTCCTGAAATTTAAACACTAGGGGAGGCAGAAGTCCACAAGAATGGCCTCTTATATAGCCATGGCCATGATTGCTCCCCTATCGCTTTTCAACAATAAGAAAGTTGCCCTTTTCATTCTTTTTAAAGGAAGAATACCTTCAGATTTATTTCTTTAGTTCATTTGATTTCTCCCACTGTTCTCCCTTTTTGTGCTAAATTTTTCTCTCTCTTTCTCTCTCTCTCTGTGTCTTCTTTTGCACTGATTTCTGTCAAGTTCCTGCAGAAGGCTGGCTGAAGGGGTTCTGTTCGTATAGAAGGGTTTTGTAACAAAATCTGGAAAGCCAGTAGACTCAAATGTCAGTAGAATCAGGTGCCAGGAATGATGGGAATTGTAGCCCAACATCTACACCGCTACACATTACCGTCTTATAGGCAGATTTTAGATTTATAGATTTAAAGGAGAGATTTACATTTACTGTTGCTGATGTCATTGGTCCAGAAGAATATAGTTTATAAAACCAGGAGTAAAAGCCACAGTCCAATAGCTAGTTCTTAGTAAACCCCTTCAATCCACTGAACCCATAGATTCATTGGTTTTCTCTTATTGGGACTACCTGTTGGATTTGCACCCAAAGAGTTAATTTCAATAGTGGCGTCAGCTAAGAGACAGGGAAAGCAGCCACTTTGAACCTCACCAGACAAGCAGACCTTTGCCAGCTGAATGCTTCAATCACAAGGTATCCTTCAAAGGCCACTAGGGTCAACCAGACTGATATGCAGAGAGCTTCACGACTGTAACAGCAGCTGACTTAACTCGTAACAGGACCATGAGTGGACCATCTGGCCCCAGGGGGCCGGACCCTCATTATCTGCACCTGTGGGGAGATATTCACATTCATATACTAATATGAATACCCCCATCACTATTGAGGGATTTGAGATTAATTTCCTCCTCCCACTCACCCCAGACATTTGCCCCTAATTATGTGAGCCCTGAATCTGTTATAGTTTATTCCTTTCCTTTTGAGTCTTTCCCTCTGGTAATATTTTCCAGTGACCAAAGCAAATGGCAGGATTTTAGGGGGGGTGGTTCCTTTGTATTGACAGCTCTACTGCACCTCCAGTGCAGTACAATTGAACTACTAGGATCTTATTGTAAGTCTGAAATTCTATACCAAGAAAGATGTAGCTCACCTAGAACTGTGACCAGACAGTACAAATTTACCAAGTGCTAATTATGCAGAACTTTCCCTTGGACATTTGCAGGTATTCTGGGATGGGGCGGAGTGAACTGTAGAAATAAAAATAATGAACTGTGGTTGCACCCTGAGATATTTCTGCATCTAAATGAATTAAACATGATTGGCTTGCATTTCTTCCCCCCACATCTCAGGAGGAAATGCTGAAATCCCCTACCGGGAGTGGTATAAACCCTTGGTATGGTTTTGGATCCTCGTGGGTCTTGCTTACTTTGCTGCTGTTCTCAGTATGATTGGAGACTGGCTACGGGTTCTTTCGAAGAAAACTAAAGAAGAGGTAACTAGTGGGAAATGGTTGATCTCAGAGGGCTTTGGTTGTCCCTTAGTGCTGGGTTTGTGTTGCTGCCTGTATTTTTCCCTAAGTTGGGTGGGTGGCTTCATTACATCAAAGCTGCACATTGGTAACTTGCTTTAGAAATTCAGCAGTACACCATGCCACTGAATTGGTGTCAGAAAGCCCAATTAAAACAAGTAAGGAGGCTGGGGGAAAGGGGTTATCCATGTGTCCTGCTGGCTGCATCTCACCCACCCTGATTCAGAAGATATAAATGTCACCTTTCCATTGCTAAAAACAGTCCTCAGTGTGGCTTACTATTCAGTATGCTAAATGCACATTGTTGTAAGGAGAATCAGAGTTTGGAAGTAATGCTTTAATTTAAGGTGCAAAATGAAAACTACTACTTTTCTGTTAAATAGGAGAGCAAGCTACTTGATGCATCTGAAGCAATATATATTGAAAGTAACAGTTGGAACATCTCATTGTTATTTTAAAACATTTAATTCTCCAGCCTATATGCACTCCTCACATCCAAATAAAAGTAATTATTATAACATTCATGCAACACTAAAATTTTATTTCTGAGCTCTAACAGAAACATAAATAAATCCAAGATAAAGCTAATGAAGAAAAAGAACTCTAACTAGATCAGCATCAAACAATTCAAGGCAAAATGTTAAAAAGGCCATCTAAATAAAAAATATCTGAATGGGACATGGGAAGACACCTGGGGCAGGTGGGGGGAGGATAATTGGCTTTCTTCAGTGTCAAGTTTAGGAACAGCATAAACTTTGGCACTGAAAAGAAAATCTCCCTCCAGTCCCAGTTTCAAGGACTGACCTATGCGAGAACTTTTTCCATCTGATCTATTTGACTTGCTGTTTTGCAGTGCTTCTGGTGGTTCTTTGTAGAGCTATAGTATTGATCCTTTAGAGTGTAAGAAGAAGAACCATTAATTGATTTAAATGTAAAGTACTTTGATGATGAAAGCATTTATCATGAAAAGAAAAAAAAGGGGGCGGCGGTTAATGTATTTATTTCTAGGAGAATTTCCAGGAAATCTTTCCTATGCAAAAAACACAGTAGCCCCTTGTGAAGAACCTAAATTTATAATTAAAGACTTCAGTTGAAGCAGATCTACTTTGTCCCCTAATACTATGCATTCTTTTTCTTCTAGCTTGGCAGGGAATCTTGATACTATTTGTGATGATAATCTGTTTTAGATTAGATGTCATAGGTTTACAGCAGTGAATCTGAAAGGGAAATCCTGTGGTTGTTGTGGGTTTTTCAGGCTCTTTGGCCGTGTTCAGAATACAGCCAAAGAGCCCGAAAAACCCACAACAACCATTAGATCTTGGCTGTGAAAGCCTTCGGAAATCCCGTGCCTTCAACTTTAGAGAAAGTAGATTATTGACCAAGGTTCTTTCTTCTTTGGCTCTAAATGTATTACTTTAAATTATATTAAATTATATTTATGCACACTTGCAGGTAGATGACAGCCATAAAGCCATTAGGAAATTAATAATCTAACCAGTATAGCGTTATACATATATAATGCTATACTAGTTAGATTATTAATATCTGATATATATGCAAAATATACATGTAACTTGTATACCAGACCAATTAGTGATAAACATTACTCCAGACACTACATCCAAAGTGAAATAAACATAAAATAAAATAAATCTTAATATGCTATAAAACAAACATCACATATAAACCAATAAAGCAATTAATAAATCAAAGACAACCAAATCATGGTGAATGGGCAAGACAGAAAGGGCCAGTCCTTACAACATTAAGAGAGGATGCTGTCAAAGGCCTTTATGCACTGCATTGTTTAAGGGCAGAAATACAGTTGTGCCCCGCTGGATGATTACCTCACTCTACAACGAATCTGCATTATGTCGACCTTTTTTCAATCGCTTTTGCGATTGCAAAACGATGTTTTAAATGGGGGAATTTCGCTTCCCGTCGATTGGTTCCCTGTTTCAGGAACCGATTTTTCGCTTTATGACGATCAGCAAACAGCTGATCGCCGGGTTTCAAAATGGCCACTGGCTTTCAAAATGGCCCCCCGCTGTTTTCTAGGATGGATTCCTCGCTTTACAGGCACCGAAAATGGCTGCCGTATGGAGGATCTTTGCTGGACGAGCATATATTTGGCCCATTGGAACACATTAACCAGGTTTTAATGCGTTTCAATGTTTTTTAAAAATTTCATTTGACAATGTTTTCGCTCTACAGCGATTTCGCTGGGATGAATTAACATCGTCATGCGAGGCACTGTATATATTTGCATATGCATGTAATATGCATATTTAATTGCATCTCTCTTTGGTACTGTTCTGTATATGTGCCATCAGAATTCCCCCATGCAAACTTGTGTGATGTTTTCCCACTGTCCAGGTTGGGGAAATAAAAGCCCATGCAGCTGAGTGGAAAGCCAATGTGACCGCAGAGTTCAGGGAGACACGGCGGCGATTGAGCGTGGAGATCCATGACAAGCTCCAGAGGGCAGCCACCATCCGGAGCATGGAGCGCCGGCGGTTGGGGTTGGACCAGCGAGCTCACTCCTTGGACATGCTCTCTCCCGAGAAACGTTGTGTCTTTGCTGCCTTGGACAGCGGCCACTTTAAGGCATCATCTCAGGAAAGCATTAACAACAAGCCCAACAATCTGCGCCTGAAAGGGTCGGAGCAGTTGAGCAAGCACGGGCAAGGGTCCTCCGAGGACAACATCATCAACAAATTTGGCTCTTCTTCCAAGCTGACCAAGAGGAAAAACAAAGACCTGAAAAAGAGCATCCCGGAGGATGTGCGAAAAATATACGAGACATTCCGGAACTACTCCTTGGATGAAGAGAAGAAAGAGGAGGACTCTGAGAAAGGGTGTCATTCTGAGCACTCGAGCACTGCAGTTCTCACTGACTGTATTGAGCAACATATGGAGAATGGAATGATCCCCCATGAAACCAAAGAAAGGGAACATGAAAACAAAGCATTACTTGAAGACAGGAATTAAATGTAAACATCCTCTTTGACTCTGTAAAGAACCAATATTAAGTCTTTTATACACATGTACACGATACATAGATAGCTAGGAAAATATATGTATCAAGACGCGTGCCTTATACAGACTCCTAATTCAGTCTGAATTACATAACATCCTAGAATATTTCACTGTGCCATAATGACCGAAGCTTGCTCTGCCAAAAGAAAACATAAACCAGAATCTGGAGAATGGTACCTAAAGGTGGAACATTTGACAGATTTCGCCTCCATATTCTTACCACGGGAAAGCTCAGGCGTGCCATGGTAATAACAGCTGGAAAGATGAACAAAATGGCAGAGACGTGCAAGGAGAAAGAAGACATTTTAGAAGATCATTCAAAGGGATGAGGAAAAGATCTTTATGTGTCTTCATTTCCTTCCTCCCTTGTTGGTTTCTTTTTTTATAAAAGCAGAAAAATATGGGGTGATCTGTCACTAAGGCATGTTTTGCCATAGGCTTGAAACATGATGTTCCCCCTACTCGTTTTTTTTTTAAATTCAAAACAAAGAAACAGTTGAATTAGCTTTTAGTAATCCAAAAGAATCATAATAAAAATGTCCACACACAAGGAAGTCAGCTGGATGCTTCTGAAACACTGGTGAAAAATAGAACAGGATGCTTCTTCCAGGGAGACGAAGTGAAAACCCACGGAATCAACATATTTATTGCAACAAATGGAAAATTTAAGAAGGAAAAATGCAAAGCAACAACCACTCCTCAGGCTGGGAAAAAAATCACACAATAAACTTATAATACCCAGGGGGTGGGAGCTGAAAAACTTTCAAAATTGCATTGTTTAAGAGTGAAAAAAAATCCTAACCTTGTGATTGGTTCACTAAGCAGTGAACCACTTGGTTTTTAAAATTTTTGCGTTCACACTTTGTATCACTGAAAGAGCTTCAGTTTTAATGCTGGCATACTATAAAAACAAAAAAGGAGAAACTTTTGCATGATAATCATTTGGTATTCTCTGTAGAAGTATCTGAATTTGTTTTATAACAAGGTAGAAATGAGTTGGTATAAAACAGAAGGTAAAGGGGCAGGGCAACCGTCAAATCTCAGGGCTCTTGTGTTCCTTGTGGTGATGAGGATTAAGAAAGGCAGACACTTCCCTCCCCCCCCCAATTTTCTGAAGAAGACAATGACAACATGGGATGTGCTTATAGCTTTAAGTGCCATTAATAACATTGTAACAACTGTGTAATCATGGTATTTTGATTTTAATATATTCCTTTAAGTGTTATGTTTCTTTCCCATTCAGTTTAATTCAGAGCTGGAAAAATAACTATTTTGTACTATAATAATTATTTTGTATACTATAAGAAGTAGGTACTATACTCCAGCCATTCTGGGAGTTAGGGTTCCAAAAAAGCAACTTTCCCTTTCCTCTTTTCCTTTCTTCCTTTGGAATCTTTTTTTTTTTTTTACAAAAAAAGGAAAGAGAAAGGAAAGGAAATAATAAGAAAAGAAACTACATTATACATTTTGTGTTCACTGTCATATTCTTCTTGTTATATGCCATCAAGTTGCCTCTAACTTATAATGATCCTATGAATTAGCAACTTCCAAAATATCTTGTTCTCACCTGCCCTGTTCAGCTCTTCTAAACTGAAGCCTGTGGTTTCCTTTAGAGAGACACTTCATATTGTTTTTGGTCTTCCTCTTTTCCTCCTGCCTTCCACCTTTCCCAGCACTCTTGTCTTTTTCAGAGAATCCTGTCTTCTCTTGATGTGCTCAAAAAGACAGTCCCAGTTTCAATGTATTTGCCCAAGACTACACATTCTGGCTTTACCCCCAGGAGGCATGGTGGGGGGAATCAAATTCAACCCAAGGTTCAGCAGCCAGGAATCAAATTCATTGAACTATGCAGATATCTGCCTGCAAACTTAGAGAGAAATCAAAGAATCTACGAGTTAACATCTAGTATCCCTAAGTACTGCAGCCCAATTGTCAAAGGCTTTTCAAAATCTATGATCTCTTATACCAGTGGTTCTTAACCTTTGTTACTCGGATGTTTTTGAACTGCAACTCCCAGAAACCCCAGCCAGCACAGTTGGTGGTGAAGGCTTCTGGGAGTTGCAGTCCAAAACTCAAGGTTAAGAACCAGTGTCTTATACAATGCTTTACATTCCCTTGTTTTCACAGTGTCAACCATGTATAATTTATACTTAATATATAATTTAATTTAATTTATATATTAATTACAATATAATTTATACTGTAAATATATAATTTACAACCAGGAATAGTTTTTAATAACCACACATTGACGTTCTGGTGAAAACTATCACCGACTCCTAATATGCTGTATAATGCACATTATGCTTTTGTTACACATCTCACCCCAAATTAGTTTTGGTTTAGATGAACCAATTTCCCTCTGTTAACAACAAACTATGATCTTGTGGCCTGTAGATGGTTAATCAGTTCAACAAACTCAGAAACATGCCAGTATGACTTAGGGTCCAGCAGAGGCCACAGCAAGCTTGTTATAAAAGGAGGCCATTCCATAAGAATTAAAAGGGAGTTGAATGATGATGATGATCATCGTCATTGTAGAACTGCAAAGCTGGAATGAACTCTGATTGTCGAGTCCAACCCCCCTTTCCACCTCCTCTTCTCTTTTCCCCTTCTTATTTGCTGTTTCTACTTTGACAGCTGATCGGACTACAAGAGGTCATTTGCTGTTTGAATGAGAGGAGTGTGCCAAATTGCACATCGCTCCTTCCCACCCCCTGACCTTACCAGGCCCTTTGTAGCCCAATCCACCTAAAATGTCAAATCTGGACAGACCTTTAGTTTGCATTTTGATTGCTCAGACATTAGCTGGTTGAAAAACCAAAGGTGTTTTCTTCTTTTAACAACATGCTCATGATAGCATCTGACTGGACCTCCGGACAGATGTTTGGGGTCAGTTCTCTTTGGTGGATGGGACTATTGCTACTGCTTACAGTTGATCCCGTTATTTCATGTTTTTCTCTCACTCTCTCTCCCCTCGAAATGCAGAGTATATGCTTCTCTCAATAGATGATCACATTGGGACATAACAGGATTTTTATAGAGAAAGGGATAGAGAAATAAATGAGAGGCTTGCTTTTGACACAGGTGATCACCATAACAATGTACAGATCAGGTATAGAAAAAAAAAACCAATTTTACACCCCCCTCTATTTTGGCTTTAGGCCTAAGAAATTATCCTACTTGTGACAGTGCAGCAACATCTGCTGGGGCTAGACATTTTTATTTGTGATAAAAATAGATTTTGCAATAAAGCACATGTCTTTACAAGATTGCCTGGGAAAACAGAACCCATGCAATCTAGCAAATGATTATAGGATGAACTCTGTTGCCCCATGGAAATGTTATTGATGATACCATCCCAGTAAGTGGTAAGGAATGTGTTGGCACATTTGTCCCCTTTTAAGAACACAGAAAGCTGCTTTATACTGTGTCAGACCATCTAGCCTAGGAATTGCCCACAGTGAATGGCAGCAATGGCTGTTCACTGCTTCAGCTGTGATTCTCTCCTGCTTAGCCACAGTTCATGGACTGAACAGTGGGGAAGCTTTACACTCCAAACAGCAGCTCTGCACAGTTTCCTATATCAGACAAGATTGTTTGTGATTCACACTTCATAATAAACAATCTCGCGTGGCTGGTTGAAGTCTGGCTTGTGATGCACCTCTGTAGGTTTGTTAACCCAGCATTTGTTGTTGGTGTGACATCTATACCTGAAACCATGCTTGTTCCCCTTGCTGTCTTCCTCCCTACCATTCATGGAAAAATGGACTTTTTACTACAGTCCAGGAATAACATCAAAGTTTCTCAGGCATCACAATAAGTCCAGGACATGTTATGCAGCAGAAAGTAACAACTGCACAGTCCAGGAGGACAGCTGGGGGGCTACCACTACTGTCCCTCTCCAGCATCTACCCCCAGAGACGATGTGTTTTTGTAGTGTAGTAGACCCAGGGCTTATTGGATCGAATTCCCAGATCTCTGAGATCAGCTACAATCTTCACAGTAACTTGGAAGAAAAAGGGTTTATCCATAAACAGTATATGTACTGTTACAAACTATCCCTGTTACTATAAAACTATCGAAGGTGATTTGCTCATGAATGGGCAATTAAGACCTATTAACCTTACTCCTGCTCCTTGTTTGTTGATACGTAATGATCTTGCCATTATCATTTTTGGATTCCCTCTAGTGGGGTGGCTGGCTGTAGAAACTGTTATAATGAACACATATGCTTCCATCACACTATAGGGGCTCACTCTGGCCATGCTGTTTGTGAGACTGGCAGTAGTTCAGAAAATAATATTTTATATATCTTACTCAGGCTAATGGTAGGGCTGTATGCTTAATTACAAGAGAGAACAGCTGAAGCATCTAAGAGGTTTTACAGATCTCTTTATTGGAAAAAAAGTCAGGATAAAAATCATATGAATAAATACATAAGAGGAAGACTTCAATAAACTTCAGATACTGCTGACAAAATTGTGGATTGGTATGAAAAAGCCAGTTTATTCCCCTCTCCCATGGCCAAATGATACATGACACTAAATCACACTTGCATTTAGGCACTAGCCTGGTAGACATGTGTGTCAAGTGACACCATATGAATGAAGAAGGAAGCCTATGGACATTGGTAGGGATGGACTGCTCTGTCTCTTAGTACCCAGTGTACAAGTCAAGTAGATTGCTAGAATTGAGAAATCTCATCTGTGCCTAGCACAGAAATGCAGAAACTGCTCTGTCTCTCAGTACCCAGTGTATAAGTTAAGTAGATTGCCAGAATTGAGAAATCTTCTCATCTGTGCCTAGCACAGAAATGCAGATGTCCTGCCAAAGTGCAGTGGGGGACAGACTTCTGTGCTTCTAAGTCAGACGCCCAGTAAATGTTCTCAGTAGACTAGTACCATCGATGAGTTTCAAAGATGGGAAGGAACCTTGGTTCAGAGGTTCATGCCAGTTTGTATGCACCGTGTGTTCCCTTCTCTGCCTCCCCAGCCAGTTGGAACACACTCTCCTCCTTCTCCACTTCAGCTGTTCACTCCCCAACAGGGGCACAGGCTTGCCTATCCTGCCTCCTTGCATGAGTGGGTGATCAGCAAAGTAGGCAGGGCACGGAAGCCCATAATTCAGCTGGGGACTGGCTGAACAGGTGAAGAGATGTGTTTGCTGGCTGATGAGTGTGTGTGTGGATAACTGGGGAGGTTGGGGAAGAGAATGTGTGGCACCTGTGGTGCCGCACATACAAACTGGCAATAACCTCAGAGGTTTGTGCCCATCTCTAATGAGTTTCTTCACAGTTTGATTGAAATGTATGGGCCAAATCTCAACTGAGTTTTTATGCTGGTATAAGGCAATTGACATCAATTTTGTTTGCAAATTGCCACAAGTTAAAAAGTTAATGTAGGTATCCAGTTGTGCATCAAGTGGTGACCTGGCAGATGCCTACACTAACTTTTTAACTTGTGAAAATTCACAAACAAGGTTTATGCCAGTTCCACGATGCCAGCAGGTACAACTAATAAGATTTTGACCACAGTTTCATTGAACACATTTGGTTTGTTTGGATTCTTTTTGCAGCAGGTACAGAGTAGGCAGTCAAGTCATGGCATACAGGGAGATTTTTAATAAATAAACAATGATTCCTACCACCAACACATGGATGCCAGTGGAGCTTTATTTCAGAAGTGAAGCTGCTGTTGTTTTTTTTGGTGGAGATCGTTATTAAAATATTCCATCTCCCAAAGACAACGTCTCACACATCCTGATGCTATTGTTTACCTCAGGACAGAAGATGCTGTTGGTACCATGCGTGAGTTGGTACCAGCAAAGAGAAATGAATTCAATATCCTCACCCCAGACACTGCAGACACTGCAGCTTGAACCCCAACTTCCTGTTCTTAAGAAAACACATTGATTGTAATCTTGCATTTCATGTCGTGTGTCATGTGACTGCTTGCTTCATTCCTTGCTTAATCCACTGCCCACCCACGATTGGCCAGGGGGGCTCACCCACCCCCAATATAATTTTGGGATGTTGACAGAACTATTGCTCAGACTATTAAGCACTTTGGGTGGGGCATAATGAAACACAGAGT